GCAGGACATAGGTAGAGAGGGAGCAGTCTGAAAATAAGACGCAATGATTGCCACTGCTTTGAGTTGGAAAGGAAAAAAAAGTCCCCAGTGCTGTAAATAACTGTTTGTTACGTTCTACAGAGACTGTCCTGTCCCAAAGAACAGGATTGCATATTTTAAGTTTTATTTTGAGCAATGTCTAGTTTTCAAAAAAACCACTGCTCACTTGTGTTTCCATTCAGCACCTCTGTAGCAGGCACCTGTTAGGTGCCACATCCATTTCCTTTGTTGCCAGTGTGACCTATTTAGGTTTTAATGGTCTATTTTCAGAAACAAAGGGACCTAAAATTAGATTCCAAAATCCATATGGGAGACCCTCAGCTAAACAGCTTGATGTTTAGATGTGCAGAGTCCCCCCAGCATTTCTTCAACTTAGGAGAAGCTGCGAATTTTCAGCATCTTGGAAAATCAGGCTAGATATTTAATACCTTCAGTATGGGCATAAGAGCTTCACCTGGGACATGTGGCTTGGAAAATGTTGGCCATATATACTGTTCACATTCCTAATGTGTTTCCACTGAGGGTCTGGCAGCACTTTCTAAATGTTAAGTAGTCTCATCTCAAATATTCCTACCTTGTTGCGGTTGGTATCATTGTTCTAATATTACCCTCAGGGAAACGGAGATTAATCACCCAAGATCACATAGGAAGGCTGTAGCAGAGTGAGGATCAGAGCTCAGCTCTCCCAGTCCCACGCCATGGCTGTGTGCTGCCTGTCCTGCCTGATTTTAGTTTCATTTAGGAGATACTTAAAAAGATCTTGAATTCATATAACAGAGCAGTGGAAGGTGCTGAGCACCAGTTGGAATATCAATTAGCATCCCAGGTGTTTAGAGAGGTTTGACAAGGAACAGCTCTCATTGCAATCTCAGCTGTGGGGCCGACACACTGGGAAGGAGGAGAGGTCACACTGGCTTCTTACTGTACTCCGCAGCATTTCCTATGATAGCTCAGGGTGCCAGATCAGAGGCACTGAACTTCCTAGGGGTTATTACCCAGGTGGGCTGGCTAGATGCAAAGGGCATTAGGCTGGGATCAGGAGACATGCATTCTAATCCACATTGAGCCACTAGGTTGCTGGATGACCTTGATTATGACACATGACCTTTTGTGCCTCAGTTTCCTATCTGAAAAACAGGGATATGAAGCTGACTTTCTCTATGGATCTATGGACAAAAAGCGCTAGATGAAATGCAGGTCAGATTCCTTCTTGTGTCACTGACATTAGAATTGTTTAGCCCCAGTGGTGAAGTGCAAATAAGCCCCCACCCAGATGACAACAAGGGCAATAATCTGTGAAGTTGAGAGGCCTCCCCACCCCATGAGATGCAGTGTTTGGCTATTAGCCTTATGTGTGGCCAATGGGGATGATATGGCCCTATGAGGGGCAGGCCAGGGGCACTAGATAATGCAGCTCTATCTTGCTGCCAACTTTGAGGAGGTGACTGTATCTTAAAGACTGCAAAAGGGAAACACTTCA